TAGACTAAAGTAGCCAACATTATTTACATACCTACTTTCCAATGCGAGTTGACGAGAATAAAGAAGCCGTAAAGGATGTGACGCTACTCATTGCATGCTGTTAAATGTCACATGTTGGTGAAGCGCCACCAGTAGATCTCCGGAGGACTGCTAATAACCACATTTTGTGGTAGCAGAAGTGAAAATGAAAGAGATGAGTTTTCCTACACTTTATCACGGTTAGCAACGTAGCTCTAGCTCTAGGAGCAAATATAAAGATGTACATAGGTAGTATAAAAATTAATTTCGCAAAGCCAAGAATGATTCGTGGAAGAGCGGAAAGTTCGAAAAGATAACCGAGGTAGCTAGGCTTAAAAAAAATACTATCCATGCACCCGGGTACCTCTAGGCTACTACTCAAAAAATGTGGAGAGTGGTGTATAAGGAATTACTCGTAGAACTGTTTCAAATGAACTTTTAAGATTTACGAACGGCTTACCGACATCATAACGAAGGACAAAATAGTTTGGGCAATGCACTGCTTCCATCGTTTAAATCCCCTGGTATGGATGGTATTTTTCCAACCATAATGCAGAGTTTATCAACAGCGCTGGAATCTTACCTTATCAATATACGAAGGATGTTTAAGGCTTAATTATGTACCTATCCTCTGGAGAGAGGCAAGAGTCCAATTCATACCGAAAGAAAAGTCTCTAGACTAAAATGAATATACTGTGGTGGTCTTTTTTGGCATAAATTCAACAATGACTCCCATAACGTAATCGTTAACAGTCTGGAAGCGGTTCGTGTGAAAAAATACATGTTTTAGTTAAAATCTTAACTTAGAACAAGGACGAAGAAAAAACTAAAAATTGGATTTTTGACAGACATTCTTACAAAAAATTAAATTTCAGTGAAAATTTCGCGATTTTTTTTCAAATAGTTTTAAAAAATCCTGCTTCCAAGTCATTAAGAATTGTATCTCAAAAGCCTTGGTACACCACGTCGTATAATGTATATTACTCAAAAGTAAAAGTGTTTGCAGTTAGTAGTAAGTGCTCAATTTAAATAGCTATGTATATCATATTCTCAGCAGCATTAGGGGATATAGTTGATTGATATCACTATTTATAATAAAAATGGCGATAGATAATATTTTACTATATGTGATATTTGAATGATTAGGACGATAAAATGTAATCGATTGCAATTATTTTAGATGGTAAATTACAGTATGTGCAGGATAACGTTTGCACATATTATCATTGAATTATATTAGATATAGAATTATATATAGATTATAAACAATGAAATTGAAAAATATATTTCAATTTGTATACATAAGTTTAATGCAAATATATATTTCAAAATTGCATACAAAAATAATATAGATTTCAATAATTCATACTTCAGATTAGATTTAATATGGCGAATACCTAAATAAACGCAGCGACAACGCTGATAGTTGAAAAATTCGATTTTGACAGCGCGTTAAAAAGAGGTTATCGCTGCAGAAAACGAAAAAATTTTAACTTTCCTTAAAAATTTGTTCGTTTTTCTTTTCATTTATTTTTAAAGTTGCCGCTTTATTTATTAATGCCGCGTTGGCGTTAACGCTGAGTGGTAAAAACGCTTTTATATAGGATTTCAATAAAGTTCGTGATGGTCATGTGATTTTTTTGCCATTATATAACCTAGAGTTATTTAAAAGTAAAAGTAATAGTAAAAGTTAATGACTATTCTTTCCAAGTATGGTACCACCATTATGATTATAACTCTCATTTAGCTGAAATTGATATAACTAAACTTTAGTTTACTAATTTTTAGTTTGCATCGTACATGTTTGGAAAGCCAATTAAACATTTTTTGATTGACTTATTAGCGATATTTCCTAATTTGCGATATTTCAACTGCTATGCAATACTTTTATAATTATTATTCGAATTTGTACAGCCATTTTTTAAATAATATGCGGTTTCAAGAAATAATGGCATAATTCTTACGACCAACAACTTTCTTCTTTGATTCAATTCTTCTACTGATTTTTAGGAAGGATTTTGTTGAGCACTGTATTGAAAATTTCTTTTGTGATGAGACACGCATGTAGCAAACGTTTCGGAAAGGGTCTTTCGTGAACGTCCCTTATGATCTGCTGGACGATGCAAATGAAAAAAAGACATCAGTATGGTATTTCTGTTCTTTCTATTTCATCAAAATTTCAGAAAACTTTTGATTTCTTTGATCGCTGATAGTCTAAGGATTATAATGTTCACTGTGGTGTTTAAAGACTGTTTGTGGCATTTGCGACTCTATTGATTTATTGTAATATGCATCAACTACTATACGTACATGTGTATATTCAAGCAGTTTAGAACTATCTGTTTTCTAGAAATACTAAGTACAATATTATAATTAATTCATTGAAAGACACATGCCGATTTATCCTAAAATTACACACGTAAACAATGCTAATTCTTTTCTAAACATGTTAGTTTGGTGAAATGGGTATACATTTTTTATAAAAGGTTTTTTCCATTTTTTTGTCTACGTTTTATAATAAATTACTATAAACAATAAAAATATTAATTTAATTTTTAATAATAATTTAATTTTTAATAATAATTTAATAATTTTTTATTTTCATTTTTAAATTTTGATTTTTTTAGTCTTAAATAACATCTCGAGAATGTTGTGTCTAGATTTCAAGTATATTGTATAAAAAATAACGAAGTTATGAATATTTTTAAATCCATCCTAGGAATGTTTTACATCATATAATACTTAAAAACCTTAAAGCTTTTCCCCACAGCTCACATTTTTGAAGTCGGTGTCCTTATGATTTCAAAACTACTTGCTATCGTTTTGAAATTTTAAACACTATTTCTATACATAATTTATGAGCTAATGCTGCAGAGTTCTTTTTTTTTTTTTTTTTTTTTTTTTTTTTTTTTTTTTTTTTTTTTTTTTTTTTTTTTTTTTTTTTTTTTTTTTTTTTTTTTTTGAACTGAAATATATGTATTGTATAAAAGAAAGTCGTTTAGCTACACAATTTTTTACTCAAGATGGTTTCTTTGTGCTAAATGCTAAATACAATTCATAAATGCAAATTTTATATTAATCACACTACTATATGCAAACAATATTAAGACTTTGTTCACAATTTTAAAATTCTTAATTTATTCTTCAAAATCTATGTCGCCTCCCTCAAAATATTCCTCCTTGGCCTCAATACACTAGTGCCAACGTTTTTCCCAATCCTCTAAACAGTTGTTAAAGTCTATTTCCGAAATAGCGTTCAGGTTGCACCAGAACTTAGCCCTTCATTACTTGTCGGAAAGAATTCGGAATGCAGCACACCTCGATAGTCGAAGAAAACTGTCATCATAACCTTGATTTTTGACCTGCTTTGACGTGAATTTCTCGACTTCGGCTCGATATTGCCACGATATTCGGCCGATAGATCGTCTATTTCCGGGTCGTAAGCAGTGGACACATCGCGAGTAAAAAAACTTTTACTGACATTCTTGTAATCGGAAAGTCTTGTTTCAGAGACGTAAAAGTGAAGTTGTTTATTAAGTGTTTTTGGAATCTTCTTTCAAAACGGATTTAACCGTGTATTCACAAGCACCAATTCCGTATTTTATTGCCGTGTTGCTCATCAGTTGATTTGGGTGGCCATCCTGAACGTGGTTCGTGGTCAACGCGTTCTCGACCCTCTTTCTGCCAACCAAAAACACTTAAACGCCACAAACAATTATCAACAAAACCCTTTTCCAAGAATCTGATGTGACATTTGGTAAAGTTTTCATTGACAGTCATACCAACCTAGAAAAAAATTTTCCGACGAATGGGTTTTCGCGCGAAATTTAAATAAAAAAAGTCTTATTATTTTTTGTTAAAATACTACTTATTGGTTTGATAATAAAAAACTACAAAAGTTAACACAGTTTAGACATTTGTTCTAAATTTTTCTAATTATTTTTACTTTGTTTTGTTTAAATTAATTTATTCTACTTTTATTTTTATTTATTTATTTTTGTTAACTTATATATTTTTACTATTGTTACTATTATTAAATTGAAATTTGTTAAATTTTTAAATAAACGTAAATTCTAAACATTAATAATTATTTTGATGTGCCCACAGTAGTAAATTGAATTTAACATAAAAAAATACAAAAGTTAACACAGTTTAGACATTTGTTTTAAATTTTAATTTTATTATTATACACATAAATTTTATTAAATTCTATTTAATTTTATTTTGCTTCGTTTAAATTAATTTATTCTACTTTTATGTTAATTTGTTTTCTATTTTATTTATTTTTTAACGTTATTATTATTGAATTAAAATTTGTAAAATTCGTCATTCATTCATTAAGTCATGAATAATTTCATTTGATAATTAACGAAAAATCACCAGACAGTACAGACATATGTACCTACATATGTATTAATTATATTTATCAAAGTACAGACACACTTTTTTGCTGGAGAATATTTTCTGCTTTGTTGTGAGTTTTAGGCAACTCGGCACTATAACTCAAGCAATCGTACGTGCAATTGGAAAAATTATATATGTTAGTGAGTATGTATATATTACAAGTATAACGTGCAACGTCAACCCTCTACACAATGCCACACAATAGACTTGAAACAATTAGCGAGTCGATAGGGTCCAATATGTTTGTGTAGTCTACAATATATTTGTAACGACAGTAACTTATAATTTCACAGCTGAGAGATTTAATTTCCACAGCGAATAATTATAATAGATAGCCAATACTGGTTGAAATTAAACAATTCGAAAAACCAAAAACAAATCCATATAGTATATATTCGTCATATGTTTAATGGAGTTTCATCGAATCAACAGCCGGTACATACACTAAAATACACTAGTGTGTGTCTTACATACATACATATATGCATATCGGAAATCTACCTGTGTTGATATGCTAAATTACTACACATATATGGACGTATGTGAGATTCACTTGTATAAATAGCAACTGCAACTCTAAGTGAGCAGCAATACAACTTTCGAAGCCATCCAGCTCAACTAGGCACGAGTTTAAAAAATTCAAACATTTTTACCAAATATTTTCCCACTTACTCGACAAATATGGCCAAATTCATCCTATTCGCCGCCTTATGTATTTTGAGTGCCGCTGTCTCCAAAGCAGCTTTCAACAAAGAAGAGGCTATGAAAAATTTTATGACTAAAGCCGAGGAGTGCCGTGGCGAAGTGGGTGCCGCTGACTGTGAGTATTAGAATCACTATAATTCAATATTGATGAATTATATCTAGCGTTATCTAAACCGCAGCTGACATTCAGGACATAATCGCAAAAGTACCAGCGGCCAGTAAGGAAGGCAAATGCTTGCGCTCCTGTTTGATGAAAAAATACGGCGCGGTAAGTATTTATTTTACATGATAATATTTTATGTCATTACTACTAACAAATTTTATTTAACGTTCCTCAGATGGATAGTAATGGCAAGTTTGTCAAGTCCGTCGCCGATCAGCATGCGCAGGACTTCACTGACGGTGATGCAGATAAATTGAAGACAGCTCGTGAAATTATCGACGCTTGCGCCGATATTGCAGTACCAGATGATCATTGCGAGGCAACTGAAGTGTATGGCAAATGCTTTATGGAACAAGCGAAAGCTCACGGTATTCAAAAATTTGACTTTTGAAGACTCAACTCGAGAACATTAAATTTGATCACCGACCTATTTATGATTTAGATGTTAAAAATATTTAGATATGTGTACATGTGTGTATTTTGTGCTTATTTGTTTTTAATTTTTGTTTATTAAAGCAATACAATACTCTTTAGAAAAATGTGTTTTACTTGGAAGTAAGTGTTATTACAATAGTACAATAGTATTACATTCACTACGAATTCTTAGATTTCTTTCATTGATTGCATACATTTTATAAGCAGATGGCAACTCTTTTAAAAACATTTGTCATTTGTAAGCCTTCTTAAATGGCTTGAAACTTTCATGCATCTCGTACTATCAAATGCATGGACCAATAATTGTATTATGTGATACACAAACTTTTGCAATTTTAACTGTTTAACTTAATCTTTCACATAGTACGCTCGATAGAACCTTATCATCATTTAATATCATTGGCCTCAACAACCTCGCCGTTTATTCTGCTTTCTCCAGACGGGTTAAGGAAGCGAAGGAAATGGGTCTGGTAGTGAACGAGGGCAAGATGAAATATCACCCGTCATCAAACAACTTGGCATCCACGCCACTGTTAACAGTCATAACTTCGAAGTCGTAAATAATTTCGTCTATGTTGGCAACAACATTAACACCAACAATAACGTCAGCCTCGAAATCCAACGCAGGATGTCTTGCCAATAGGTGCTACTTCGAACTGAGTAGGCAATTGAGAAAGAAGTGCTCTCCCGTCGCACAAAGACCATACTCATCATTCGATTGGGCGTTTTAAACGCGGCTATCATCGCGTAAGCGGTGTCTGCGCCAATGAAGAAGAAGAAGAAGACTTGTTAAACTTTTAGTTTGAAATTTTCTTTATTTTTGTTACCTAAGTCAAGTAGCAACATTTTTATTTTACACCATCCGAGTAACAAAACTTACTAAACACTGTTTTAAGTTTTAAAAAGAGGAAAGAGACTTATAGCTAACTTCAGTTGCACCCAATGACTTAATTTTGGATGGCTTGTATTCTATGGTAGTCTGTTATCGCAATTTCTGACAAGTGAACGGAGTCTAAGTGAACGCATATTTGGTGTCAAATTCACTCAATCTGATCGAAAAACAGCGTTGCGTCAACGTCTGTGAAACAATGCGTTCCGACTACCAGGATGCCATGAAATGTATTATTACTGGTGATTAATATTGGATCGTTGTTTTCGACGGAAATGGACGATTAATCGGTCGAATAACGTCGCAAAGATGAGCCAAAGCCGAAAAAACACGTCAAAGCAGGCAGGGTATGTTGACATCGAATTTCTCTGGCAGGGCAAACTGTCAACAAGGAACACTCTTAGTGTTATGCGTCGTTTTCGTGAAGCTACTCTTAGGCCGGAAGTATGGGCCGACAACACCTAGTTTTGGCACCACGACAATGCACCGTCGTATACTGCATTGATTCTTCGTGTGCTTTTCGCGAAATTTTCAATCAATGTCCTACCGCAACCACCGTATTCGACTGACTTAATTTCGAATGACTTCTGAGTAAACTGTTTGGAGTCAATTGACGACATTGAACGTGAATCGTTCAACGCAGTGAAAGCTATTGGAAATTGACTTTATTGGATTGGATTCAAGAATAAATCAAGCATTTTAAAATTATAAGGAAAGTCTTACTATTTTTTGCTCATGGTATGTCCCCTTGACGTACGCTTCAACGTTAAACTAATAAATGAAAAGACCTGCAAATGATTATAAGGGAGACTGACGGCAACTTAGTTCAATAACTCTGTAGTTTTTAACCCTCTACCTGTGTACCCATAGTAGTATATTTATAAGTGTATATAATATTTAATTTAGTATGTACATACTTATTTGTGAATGACGTGATAAGATAACTCTAGACATTAATATTTATCACACTTCTTCCACACTATTTTATACAAAAATGTAATTATTTCGATTAGAATCTTAATTGGCCACGTTCCCAACCAAATGACTCGTCAGAAGCAAAACGTACTAAATTCGCAGATGATTCGTTTTTATTTTTATTCTCAATTGTTTCAAGTAATTTACGAGAAAAATTACTTTATTGTTTTGATTTTGAAAAACTATTTTAAAGTTATTTTTAGTGAATTTTTTTAATAATTCAAAAAAGTTTCATGTAGTCTAATAAATTAAACTTTGTTACGTAATAATTTAAATTGCATATAAGACATTCATGTTTTCTTCCCAAAGTTTATTGGCCAATAAAATAAAAAAGAAATTTGGGCAAATAGACGACGGGGTAGGGAGAGTGCCGACTTACTGGCCTTCCATAAGAAAATTACCTGAACTGATCGACTTTTTCATCTTCATCTTCTTTATTGGCGTAGCCGAGTTAACAACAGCGCGCCAGTCGTTTCTTCTTTTCGCTACGTGGCGTCAATTGGATTTTCCAAGGGAAGCCAGCTCCTTCTCCACCTGGTCTTCCAACGGAGTCTTCCTCTTCCTCTGCTTCCACTGGCGGACACTGCGTCGAATACTTTCAGAGCTGGAGTGTTTTCGTAAATTTGGACAATATGACCTAGCCATCGTAGCCCCTGTCTATTAATTCGCTGAACTATGTCAATATCGTCATATATATCATACAGCTCATCGTTCCATCGAATGCGATATTCGCCCTGGATCACGCGTAAAGGACCATAAATCTTTCGCTGAACTTTTCTCTCGAAAATTCGCAACGTCGACTCACAGCATTCATTCATTCATGCTAGTACTAATATGTACGTAGATAACACTGTGGAACATTTTTGGGATTATTGTCTGGGGGGTGAAATTCCAAGTCAGGGTGATGGTACTAGGTCAGTATAGTAAAACCCTCAAAGGGTTTGGCGTTCGTATGTGTCAGTTTTTTTTTATGACTTTATGACCTATGACCCTTTTTTTCCTTATCTTGATGTTTTTCGCTTAGTTGTAACATTTTGGCAAAAACCAAAAAAAAAGCAAAAACAATAAAAAAATAAAATAAAATAAAACCAATTTCCGAAAATGCTCTTAAAAACTTTGCGACAGAAACTTCGTAGTTGTTAGATGCTTTCCCAAAAAGCCTTCTATTACTTCTTTGATTGCCTGCCATGCATTCAATATATATCAATCAAAATATTGTTGAATGCGTCACTTTTAATCAGCTTTCGTATATCTGGACCATTTAGTACGCCTGATTGGAAAAAATTAATTTGTTAAGATGGAAAACCATGGGAAATAAGGAAAAAATTTCAAAGGTCATAAAAAAAACTGACGAACGCCAAACCCTTTGAGGGTTTTACTATAATGTCCTAGTACCATCAACCTGACTTGGAAATAAAGATTTATTTTACCAAAATATGTTCGCACAGTTCAACGAAATTTCATTTCACGCTGATTTCGTCAGTTAATACTAGCGGTTATTTATGGCATCCCCCCTTTTCTAATATCAGCTGTTCGAAATTTATTTATAGACAAGATCCGGAACATGCGTGTGAGAGTACGCATTCCCAAGGTCGAACTAGCACGTGATCAACGATTCCCTACTTTTTGCCAAAATCAATGCCGTCGGTCAAGCTTTTACTACATCAGTCACATGAAGTGACACTGCATGGAGGAACGCAACTAAATGGTTGGATGCTGCATATTCTGATCGCCGCTTCTGGATTCTGAGTTCCAGGCAAGCAGCCAAAAGTTTCATCCATAACTGCGTTGTATGTCGGCGTCACAAAGGGGAAGTCCTAAGTCAGCAAATGTCTTCCTTACCCGGGCAGAGGATTAGAGCCTTTAGGGCATTCATATCATCTGGTATCGATTACTATGGACCTTTCACCCTACGAACCGGAAAATGCTCTCGCACAATTGTCAAAACATATCGCGCAATTTTCGTTTGCATGGTCACCAAAGCGGTACACATTGAGGTGCTTGATGACCTATTGGTACAAGCGTTTGTGTTGTCTACCGACTCCTGAGGAAAGATCTTGCAGCATGGTAGCGTGAGAATAGTCAGCGATCGTTAGCAAACTTCGAGGGCAACCAACTACAGTGTACAGTGAAAACGCCATAGCATCTTCCGTTACGATTGTGCCTTGAAATAGAGCCAGAAGACGTTATTTAATTTGATTTTCTTCCGTTTGTTTGAAATCTTTAATTTCTAATGCAATAATCAATAGAAGGAATAAATAATAGCAAATGTTACTTTATAACAGTTGAGCAAAGTCTGCACATGATCCACTAAAATCTCATACATACAAACTAAAACTTTATCCCTGCTGGCTAAATTCGATGCCATTTTGCTTGAATTATTCCTTTGCCCGCTTTGACGTTTATTGCGAGTTATTATCTTGTTAAAACAGACACTGAAGAGGCACATTAAACTCTGCGAAAGCTATATTGTAAGCCATCCAATGTACCTTTGATCCGAAATCCATTATACTCCCGCTGTCATGTTTTATCGTTTTTATAGTCTATTGTGAGAAAAATTCGGTTTTAAAAGATCTTCGAACGAAAGGACTGCCCGGTCAGAATTGAATAAATTCACCTTGGTTTCATCTGAAGAGTCAACGAATCAGTTTTCACCTGACGCAGACTTCGCTTTTGCAAAACCGGCCAGCGGAAATAAAATAACCGTGGCAACCCTTTTCTTATTGTGCAAATGCACAGAATTTAACTAAAATAAAATAATTGAAATAAAGGTTTATTTACAACAAATATTAAAAAATTAATATACAGAATCCTCATAGTGAAGTGTTATTAAGTGAAAAGTGCATAATATAAGTGAAAAACTTATTCGCAATATACAAATTATCAATGTAAAAGTTGTCTATTTTTCAACTTTAAATGCAAATATTTTTAAAACTATACATCAGCGGCAACTATATATATATATTTKCATGATCTGGAGAACATCACCTTTCCAGTGATACCTATTTTATTCCCGAAATCCGGGGATGCTATTCTAAATCCCAGCCTTTTGTGATGTCAAACATCATAGTATTATTTTCTATGAAAAATTATTAAAAGCATTTAATGAATGAGAGCTAAAAAGCTTAAATCATTTTATTGGGTATTAAAATGTCAAAAGTCAGTCGCTTTAACATACCGTAATAAAATTAAAATAGTTTCTCTA